CGTTGAACAGCATACTTTTGCTGAGACACATGAGTTGGCTCGGACATGTGAGCCGTATGGATTCGACGCGGATACCGAAACAACTCTTATATGGTCAGCAGAGTATTAGGAAGCGCCATGTGGGTAACCAAAATTTACGCTACCAGGACATGAGCGAAGTGAGCCTCACACGTTCTAACCTGGATTGCAGGCCATGGGAATCGAAAGCTGTTGATCTGCGTGCATGGCGCGATCTACACATGAAGGCAGTTGCCGAAGTGGGGGAGAAAGACCTCATAAATGCAGCGAAGAAACGGCAAGTGCGGAAGCGGCAAGCACTGATGGGTTGTACTCAACCGACATCGAGCGCCAGGTGCTGTAGCACACGCGGTCGCGCGTGTTTGAGTCAGGCAAGCCTAGTGAGCCAGGAGCTAGGCCACTCGGAAGCAATACCGAAGCAGCGATGAGCCCTGCAGAGAACGTAGGCAGAACCGGCGCAGCGTTTTTAGGTACGCTGCCTTCGAGTTACTAACTGCGGGCTTTCATGCTAAGTCGCTTTATTTCAGGTGATAGGTTAGAAAATTTTTCCTAGTGTTTTTCCTTCTCCTATAGATGTCGACCTGTACTCTCTTCGATAAACTTGCACAGTCGCTTAAGCCAATTGTAGGTAATTGCGATAAGGTTTTCGTGTATGCGACATTTCCATAAAATATACTTTCTGACCTCGTGAACCTATCTCAGATTCGTTTGTAAACAACATTTCATACGCTCATTAATTTAAGATTTAGGTCACCGTTTCCTTAGGCATTACTTGATTTATTTTAGTTGTTAACTCTCAAGTGCTTGGCTGTTGCTTGATATCCCCGGTGTGGTTGAGCTTGCTGTACCTTCTGACAAGGTGCCTACCGATATATTACCCACTACCTAGTCCATACTGGCTCTAGAAGTCAGTTGGTCGTTGCTAGGGTGGACGGAGTGCAAGATCCTCGTGGCCGAGCTAAGATGAAAGAGTGGTTCCATGCACTCAGTGTGGCGTGGACTATGGTCCAGCCACCGCGTTAGGTGCGCTTGATTCCCATATACAGCGTGCTTGGGTTTACCCGTGAACGAGTATGGGCCGACTCCGTTGATGAACCGCGGCCCCCATCCACATGCCTCCAGGTCTTATTCCTTCGAGTTTACACTTGGTATGGGGTGGGGTTGGAGCTGCGGGTGGTGCAACGCAAGCCACCCATGGTCCCTCTGTAGGCGCAGGTGTCCTATGGCTGGCCAAAGTGACAAGCATACCGGAAACCAGATGCCGTTAACCTGTATATATCTATACATATATATACCTCATTCTGTGCATATATATACGTTGTGTGGAGGCATTTGCAAATTGACATATGTATACATCCGCGCACACATATTTATATGCCTAAACACACACAAGTAGCTTCATAGCTCAACGCTCACACATGCCTTCTCCTAACTTCCACCTAACATGCAATACTTCCACATCTATCCACTACTAACATGCATGACAAGTACATTGCAGCATATACTGTACATTTATATTTTAAAAATTTATACATATATATGGTATAGTGGGAATTTCGTCACACATATACTCACGCAGACAGCCATCACACGCCCGGAAATGCAGTGTACGCGCGTTTAATCTTTTTTGGAATCGTCAACATTGCACATTCCATCGGACCCCGGTAGGGCTAGAACCCGCTACTCCACTTTGGCCAGTTTGTGTTTAAGACTACTGAGCTACGGGAACGGCAACGACCATCGTGAATAAGTTACTAGATGTTATATATGGAGCCGCTGGAATGCGCACTACTGACGGTTCCCGAAAGTAACTAACGCACCTACAGTGCTTTTCTGAGCGTGGGTTTGCTGTCTGTATGGGTCGAGATGTGACGCAATTCTACCTATACCATTCAGCTCCTCCTCCTCCTCTTCTATAATCAGATACATATATACTATTTGAGAGGTGACAAGTGTTTACACACACACGGGCCATTCTGGAACACTTTATACTGATTCCGGTCACTATTTTTTAAACTGTTCCGAATTCCAAAGATAACCACCAAGGCAAAACCAATGGTACTTATTCTCCACATGCTTTACCTACATTTCGGAAAGTTAACCATCCATGCTAACGCTTATTACGTTGTACGGAAACTTAGCACTGCATTTCTAAAGCGCTTTTTCACTTTCCGTTTATTTTTTAACTACTTGCTTACAGTTATTTATTAACTTTGTACATTCTTTGCGACTTTGCAATTAATCTTCATACGTTACCGTTTTAAGCTTTTTGGAATTCCCGCTCACGTTATATACTCAGTGAGTAATTAATAACCCATCAACAAGCATACATTTAGAGAACACAGCAGTTAGATGTCCCGCTGAACAACAGCCCGTATTCAAAATCCCGCCATTGGCAGACTCGACGGTCCCAGGAGGGAAGGTAAGGGCTAGAAGAGATGCAGAGTTGGTATTGTACCAGCAGCTAGTATGGTTAGATAGATTTAAGAAAAGTATGTTTATAAAATTTATGTAGAGATAAACACAACTTGGAACCTTAGATTGGATACGAAGGCTCAACGCTCTAATGCCTAATAGTACTAATAGCACTGCACTTACTTAAGGAAAGAAGTCTGCTATAGGAAAGGAGGACAAAACTTGTGTCTTTGACAGTAATCTCTGGTTGTGAACAATGTTTCTACCAACTTTGCGGACCACATTATGCAAAAACTGGCGAAACAAGCGTTGAAATTGAGTTATGCAGCTTTGTGTACCTATAAAACTTATGAAACTGGGAGTACCTCTTTCAATTTTATAAACTTTAGTTTGTCATTGCATTAACAGACGGCTTTTCAGCTAAGGTATAAGCTTCAGGCATACGCCGAACATCTGCTAGTGGTAGCGTGTTGGATTGTCAGCCTTGCAGCCGCGGTTCGAATTCGGGGTGCGCTGCCTTCCTTACTCGCTCCGGCGGCACATATTCTAAAATTGAAACTATACAAACGCGATGGAGAGGGCCAACGCGCAATGATACATAAAAATACTACGGTACCATGGTTATACGCTTTCACCCCTACAGGAAGGTCTCTGCCTTCCAACGTTCTGCTTGCATAGTATTCTAGATTAGGATGGAAGCCCAATGCACACCTTTACATAACACTGATTACGAGATTTGTTTGAGTGCCAGTTTTCCTTCATTTCGTGCTCCTAAGACCTTAGCAGGTTTCTACATTGCCCGAATTGTCTATTGAGGCTCGCGCGGATAAACCACATGTCCAGCATCTTCTGGGTCATGTTCTTTAACGGATGTTTGTGGTGAATTATGGCATAAAATAGCTCATATGCTTTGCCGTTAGGCGGAAATCCTTGGTAGGACAAGTTTATTTTTGTATGCCTGCCGAGCTCAGACCTACCGCGCAGTCCAAAGTTTGCAGTTAGAAGAATTCCCCGATACAAAGTTCTCACGATTTGTTTGTAGAAGCGCTGCTCACATGCTTATTAAGTGAGATGTAGCCACCCCGTCGGCAGGAGTGACCGATAGCCGTCGATTGGGTATCCGATAGCAGTCCGATGGACTTCCGACAGGCGACAGATCTTAATTCGGACGGGACTTTTATTTGTGGTGGCAACCGTGCAGTCAAAGCGGACCCTCGTCGGACTGTCGGGTCGGAGCTTAGCTGAACGGACTTGTTTAAGCCCGTTATTACCCAGCTTATTTGTGCGTTTCCTTCTGTTAATTTAGTCATGTGATAAAGGTTTACCACTCAGAACGTCGTCTGTGGTTAAAATGTATCCGCAGTTAAGTAAAAAATATATTATAAAATACGGTTCATTTTGAAAGAAGGGTGTACAGTGCCCGGTTGCTATGGTAGTGGCAGTTTCAGGCCCACCGACGCATTGGATCCAAAGTCGCAGTACGCCTGCAACTAAAGCATCCATACATCCGGGTTAACACTTTCACAGCACTACGCCTGAAGTAGTTTACAGTTCAAAATTGCTTTATCCTTACCGGTAATATAACGCACATAAAGAGCGCTCGCGATGCAATATATTGATTTGCTCTACGCCAATTCACAGCGCGTGCCAACGGCTTGCTCATAGAAGTGAGCATGAGGTTGCGCACAAAGTCAGCTGAAGATATTTTACATAAAAGTCCAAAGTGTGCTACTTGAATACAGCGAGAAAACCTACTTTCCTTTACTATTTTGGATCTAGAAATAAAATGCTACATTTCGCTGCACTTCACCAATTCGCTGCTGTAGTCTACTGTTAACGGTTGCAAGCACACGGTGCTGCTCTCTAGAAGCGCCAGCTTACACTGAATCCGATGCGTGGCCAGCTTAATTTCTACGCGCACCTCACGCAGCTTACTAGCCTCACGGGCGAATATTAAGAACTGCGCTAGAGTTGTACGTTAATGGGGACATGAAAAGCCTACCTGGTACGTCAGCCGTGGGCGCAGAGTAGTCAGCAGATATCCGCGACAAAGACAAGCGTAAGGATTTAAATCTTACGCAGCTAACAATCACTTAATGACGAAGTCACCTACCTTCAGCTTTTTGGTCTATACATTGGCCGGATATTTTCCAGTGATTTCAGAGGCTTCACATACTCCTCAAACTACAGCCGAGGTTGGGAAGAGGAGTCATCGTCTCGTGAGCATGTCCGTCGGCTGCTTGTGTGCTGCTTCGACAGTGTATCGCAGTACATGCACCTGTTCGATGCTGCAGACATTACGGATTTACGACACTTAAATTTCTCTCTTTCCATTGCCTTCCAGCACTCAGGTAGCATTGCTGGACGGCGGCACTGAGCATGACAGTAGCTCGCCTTCTAGACGCCTAGCCCTTGAATAGTCCACTAATACTGAATACATGGGCGGTAATTACACTCACAAGTGGATCTGTGTGTTCTCACTTTGAAAATTAACGAATCTGCAGGTGCAGTTGGGTTGTGAAGCGAAAGGCTATTAGCTTGCCTGAAAGACAACTTGGGAAGCTTACTTTATCTTCACGCTTCATCCAGGTGGAGTGCGCAACTGCGACACATTTGTCCTCAAACTCTATGACGCGATACATCTGCGACTGAATCACCAGGGGTACATACATGGTCACATGTAGCGAACGATTAAAACTCCAAAGGCAAACCAAAATATTGGTTGTGGGATGAAGTACAACAGCGTCCTTTGATGGAATGAAAACGCGTTCACGTTTTACCATGCTGTACCCTATCTGCGTTGGTGGGGTCATGGCGTGGGTGCGTTGGTAGATACGCAACTCTTCCATGTTTTGTAATTGTGGAAAATGGATTGGCAACGTGAGGGAGATCGGACCCCTATCAGTGATTGCCTTATACTCGGTGCCAGTGACGGTGTACTACTAACCAGAACCACATTGTTCGGATGCTAGGTTTTAAGAACCACATCATTGCATATAAATGAAGTCGCCTTGTCAATTGTTGGCGCAATGATGATTGATTGGGCATCAGCTAGAGAATCCCTGAGAGCTGAGTTGGTCACTGTTCCAGTACACGTCAGCAAATCTGTGAGGTTAACAGGTGTGCCCCTTACACCCTTATCCGCAACCGGCAAGCATTCTGGCATATGTGCAGCCGACAGTGCACATTGAATACAAACTCCTGCTTGCCGTACATAGCGACTATCATACGAAACACCTTTTCCAACCCGGCTGCCAAGCAGCAGATAGTAAGAGCAACATTTTAACTAACCTAATACGTGGGGTCCCCAGTTTGATCAAGGAAACCTATGCAAGGCTTATCTGGAAGAAGGTACTTCATAACCACAGAACACATGTACACCGAAATGCTGGCGGAAATCAGTGGCTTTCCACCTTCCAACCACTTCCAAATTTCGACACGTTTGTGTGGAATTCACCTATACGACACATTCGCCATTCCAAAGTGGCTGTTCAAGTCCCGTAGAGCTACTGAAGGAAAGCGCACTTTGCTTGCTATGGGTGCAGTGCATCAAAGATGGAAGAAAGGTACCAACGCCCTGAGGTCAAGCTGCTGCATGCAATCTAAGGGTTAGGACCCAAGCATGTCTACATCGAACCTGTGCAACTAATTCTGCTATGAACAATGCTTTGTTGGAGCACAGATCATCTCTATCTCGTAATGGTTATTGGTTGCAAAAAGCCTTGTTTAGGCTTCTGTGTTCACGGATCACTACCTGGCGAAATTACCCCCAACTTGTGTTTTGACGGATTTTTGCTCGCCACAGCGCCATAATGTCCCTGGGTCTGACTTTTACCTGACAGTATGCTCACTCACACGGACAACATCTTTTCTTTTATAACTTTCATCAAAACGAAATGTTTTAACATTTCACAGAAGCTACGCTTGTATGCATATTTGATCAAGCCTTTACAGGTGTGTCTCGTTTTACCGAGAATATACTATTTATTTATTTATTTATTTATTTATCTATGCTGGTGCAGCCGCTACAACACGTTGCAAAATAACCTTGATGGGTTTACCACCATCAATTACAAGGACGCTCTGTTCCAACCTATCGCGCATGTCACGGATGGCTGATGTCAGAAAGCGCTTCACTTCCAAATGTTTCCTTAATCCACTATAAAGTCCGACAAACAAAATTTGTGAAAAAGGCCCTGCCAGTTTTGCAAGTATGGGTCATAGCTGCTGACGTGCACTGCGGAGCAACTGTATCCAGTCAACGGGGATCTGTAACTATAAAATAGAGGGAAGCGCTAAGTGCAACTAATCACGAAATAAGCGGCGTATACCTTGCTCCGAGCCAAGGCGGATGTAACAACCACCGCCGACAGATCGTTCTGGGCTTCGGCGAGGAGTACGCCAGGGTTGGCGCTCATCGTGTGGTAGATTCGGTTGCAATGGAGGCAGGTGGTGCAGTAGGGTGTTGAACTGAACAACAACAAGGTTACCCTGCAGTGCGCTTACGCGGCAAGCATACTCTGCTATGGGCAACTGTGTTTTATTATCCTTGACCAAACGACGTTATATAACGATAATGCCAAAAGGGACAAGTAACTAACAGTGCTTACAAGTGGACTATATTTGCGAACTGCGTTTCTGGCCAAGAGAAAGCAGGCAAGCGCGGCTTTGCAGAAGTCAGCCGACCAGATGATATGCGTCTCTTGTGAAGTGGATTTTAGCTTGCCGATGAACTTTCTGTGCCAAATTGCCAAGCTGCGTAGGTGTGAAAAAAGTTGCTAAATAATAACCGATAGTGGGAAGCATATATACCCCGTATTTTGTGACTGCGGCGTAGTTTGCTAAGCCGCAATGCCCCGCTGCGAACAAGCAAACGATGAACCTTTGACACAATGCAACCTGTGCATGAACGAAGGCGTCTCGGAGGCATGCGGAGGGGCCAGCAGCGTATGGTGACCCACCATGAGGAGTATAAACTGACGTAAGGGTAACCAAATAAAATCTCGGGTTGGCGCAGGTAAACAAGCAGATTCCGCCTCCAACTATCTAAATCATGCGAGAAAGTTATTACAAACTGTCTAAAATCTTCATCAACTTTCACGGTGGCAATATTCGGCGCAAAAGCGTAATATTTGCCGAAAGTCCGGTGGAACTGCTTTTCCGGACTGTTAAGTGTACAAAAGTGCCAATAGGGCACGTGCACACAACTTCACTTTAGAGTAGCATTGCCTTGTTTTACCACGCGTGCTTTTGATTGCGCGTAATAAATCAGAGGACGGCGGTCACTCTAACGTAAAATTGTTCATACACATATTTTCTTTTAACGGCGAGGAAAATGAGCAATTGTATTCCGTCTGTGGACACTAAAAATCCCGTGAAACGACATAAACCCAATGCTGCGCACTTTTCTCTCCTTGTGCTAAAGGATAACATTACCTGCACGGAGCAACTCTGAGGACATTCCTGCGACTCTCACCTGGACACGGAATCAACGCCGAACCAAGAAATCACCCGCACTACGCAATCCTGACACATTAACGGACCCCAGAAAACTCGCCAAATCAATACAAGTCACCTGAGTCATCCGAATTCAATAGCTTCAGCCACTTGCGATCGACTCCGAAGGAGACCACACAACCATGGGAACGAATTGGCGAAACGTGACTGCGAATATCCGCGAGAGCGATCGGTCAGATGCAAGCTTTCCATTATCATATCACCAGTCGGCAGTGTTCTAGGACGTGCTGGGTCTTCTTCTGGGAAGTGCTTTTCCTACAAAAAGTCACAACTGTCTGTTTAAGAATACTGCGACGTGGCGGATGCGACTCGTCACTCAATAAAGTCACCGCCCCTACCACACATTGGCAAGTTGACCGATGCCACATTTGCAAATTCTGTGCATATAGCTGCTCTCTTATGAACACGCCTACATATCTGGTTAGTGACATGCCACTGTTCTGAAATACTTTTCAGCTTTTTCCTCCAACTTCACTCATTTGACCCGCACTGTGTACACAACTTAATCGGACCAGTTCGTCATCAACCTACTACACATTAGTGACCTGATTCTTATCTTCACAACTAGCATGTGTGGACATAGACTTCGTACAACCTTTGAACCATATGGGCCTACACTACTGACTCCACCTGTACTACTCCCGCTCTTGGGGCTGCCAAGTAGGCTATTATGTATAATATTGCATATGCTTATCATGTCCAAAAGATGTGCCTCGGTTTGTGAAGAATAAAATATTTATTTATTTATTTATTTAAAGTGATTATCCCTTTTGATGCCTCACAGTTAAGGAAAGTCAAGTATGCAATGCGGTAGCTTATTATTGTCTCATGAGTACAAACTGACAGAAAGCTGGCGCGCGGATAATGCTAGTAGGCATGTTTGCGCAAAAGTATGCTTGGCCTTCTATTCTAACCTAGAAAAAGTGCAGGTGTGACACTGGAATGCGATAATGCCTTCCTGGATGGATTCAATTGTGAAAGAATTTTCAAGTTTTGAAGTTAGTAGGCCATCCAACAGAGGGTCATCCTAATCTTCCCTGTATGGTACCAATTTTAAAATATGTACCGCTGAGGAGGGCGCAAAAGTCGGCGCCCCCAAGATTCATTGTCACACGACTGCCCAAGCGGTAAGCAGACCACTTAGCTATATTTGAGCTACTCGTGCACCATAAAAGTTAATTAAAATCGGTCCGTTGAAGCTACGACTGCCAAACTCTAAAAGCTCCTCACACTTGAGTATTTTATGGATTATCAGTGCTACTTAACAATTTCTCAGCTTTTATTTTCCTAGCTTCTGCTTAAGTTAGTCGCTTCAGGCTGCCGAAGGTTTGTCCAGTAGCTCAATGTGGCAGCCGTTCATACATAAGAGTCGTCCGCTTATACCACTTTTTACGTACCACTACGGAGGACTTATTTGGTACAAGAGCAGAACTGTGTGCAAGGGACAAGCCAAGACCCAGCAAGTCCAATAGAGCTTTACACGCACTTGGAGCGTGAATATTCCGCTACAACTTACCAGGTTTCAGAAAGGTGCCAAAGCATAAACAGTTAAAGTAAAGAACCATAAGTGGGTTTAAGAAAGCGCGGAGAGACGACAAAGTATCGTGAATCGCTTGGTTAGGCTTAGATCGACAGACTTGGTGGCCAGCGCTAACGCAAAGGTTAAGGGATAACTGATGAGCGGTAAGCATGTGTGGGTACATAACTTAGCGTGTACTTCTGTCTCGTGGACGAATTTAGCTGTCCCTCAGATAACTTGTTGTGACGCTGATGACTAGTAGCATTCATTAGCTTAGATGAGAGTTTCGTACAAGGATTGATCTATGCTGAACAAAGAGTTCTGAGAAAAGTAGTCATCAATATGCCGCTACATCTGTGTAAGTGCAGTAGACATCTGAAACTTAACTTAAAATGCTGACCTAAATGACCGGGATATCACAGGAGAACAGTACGTCCAATGGAGAAGAAAAAGGGTACTGGCAAATTGCTGGAACAACTCAAGAGCAACAGAGGGGTCTCTTAGACGAAAGGTATAGAAAGACAACCTTCAGGTTTTGTGAAAATTTTGTTTACCTGAAGTGTCCGAGCTAAAGCATGGTCCAGTAACACACCTAGGTACTTCACTGTTGCAGCAGAGCGTAATTTATGGTCACCAATGTACAGCTTGGGACAATGTATAACGAGCTGCGCCTAACTTTCTTGGTGTAACAACACATAACAGCATTTGATACTTCAAGTGTCATGTTATGCGCTTTGGACCACATATTTTGTTCATGTAGACGGTCTTGCAGCCTGAGTAAGAAATAGGCGGCCTGATGTTTAATGCCCAGGA